TCTGAAGAAATGATGTCATTGGAGAAACAAAACTTTTATTGATTTCTGGAAATATTTAGGGCCAATTTGTTGTGTAAGTAATTTCAATTTATGATGATACCTCTGAACACCTTTTGATATTTTTCTGGTTAAGCTGAGTGGTGTCACTGAGGAAACACAAAGTGGGGCTCATCCAGGGATGAGATTTTACCAGAGAAAGGATGAGCAGCAAGTCAGGGAGCTTAAGGTAATTATGAAAAAGTGGCTAAAATTGCTTAGGTAGAAGGAGACAGATTGGATTTTTATGTGTTTGGTATTTGGGGGAAGAAGGGTGTGTACATGAGATGTGTTGTTTATTCTCATAAGAGATCAAAATGAGGGGATTAACGGACTATAGTTCTGGACATGGTGGAAAACTTTTAAAGTGAAAGTATTGGGGCAAGTGCTTTGATGGGCTAGGCAGGTGCATTCAGTTTCTTCACCTGGAAATCAGTAGAATGTTAGCAGTTCAGAATCAAACCTTGTTAAGAACGGGTGGCATAAAGGAAGTCCCTCACAGCAACTGACACCATAATCAAGACAGAATGTTTTCTGAATAAATGGAGTTACCCGCTTTCAGCCCCAGGTGGTAGTTATTGTCTACCCTGATAATATGTGATAATAATTTGTGATCCTGATGTCTTAAAATGGGGGTCACTCATCTCCAGTAGAATTAAGTCCATAGTGAAGTTGTCCCCTTATCCTCAAAGACATAAGCATATATGAATGAACTGAAATGATAACAACTATTGCTATCTGGGATCATGAGCAACCTGAAATGAACTAATAGGAAGTAAAAGATGACTGAGAAAATAAGATAGACCCATCTGCAGAGGATTATAAAACCAGCAAAGACAAGGTCTTGTCTAAGATGCCTTCAGAAGCTTTGTCCATGAGAACTCTACGGACTTATCCAGACCTGGTGGCTGCTGCTGGGATCTCTGCCCAAAAAGAGCATCTAACCAGCATCCAAAGAACTTCTGGACCCACTGGACTCTTCTGGAGTTACACTGATCTGCCGAGTCATCACTGTGGTTTTTTTTACTTCCTTTATTACTGCCTGTGTGTATAACGATAACTGCATAATTGATACCATTGCCTCTTGATAAATGGTAAATCTGAGCATGTGTAATCAGCTGCCATGTCATTGTGAAAGCTCACAGCTTTAGTCAGTGTCAGCACAGCTAGGCAGCTTGCACCTAATGCACATATCAGTGGGCATAGTCTACAAGCACCTAATGACTCAGGTACTTTAACAGTCACTAATGAGTATATCTCCAAGGAGTAATCCAACAACACATGACTGGCCTGACTCAGGGTAACTATATGTCCAATCTAGGGTTATACTGAGTGAACATCTGCCAACCAGAGGTCATTCCCCCTGCCTGCCATTGAGCAGTTCAAAAGTGACTGGTGTAAGCAGACATGAGTACACTTGCTCAACTCGCTATTTGCCTTTTCTGAGGGGATCATATTTAGGATCTAGGTCATTGTGCCTTATTGGGGGCGTACACATTTCACTTGTAAATTATGTTTGAAAATTAAATTACTATGTTGCTAGTCATTCACAAAACATTTTTTAAAATTGCAATTCCAGAGCCCAGATTAACATCCAGTGACTTGTAGAAAGCAATAGAGAAATGTATTAGGCAAAACGTTCTGGCAAAGACCAGTCTGATACTGTCCTGATTACCCAACCTCAGGCATTGGTCACATTAACTTGCAGAGCTAAGAAAAATAAAAAACTATAGCCTTGTTACTCAAGACATTAGGAACTATCAATTTAGATAGATGAAAGATTTTACCTAACAAAATATTAAGTCATCCTGAAGAATATGTCTCTCTTCCAGAGAACCCAGGAGGTTATAATGACCCCTGGAAAGCCTGACCAGCAATAACAGTGAAAATTACATAGGTACATGAGTACAGAAATATAATCTCTACTGAAAATAAGTTTTAAACTAGACAAGATTTACAGGATATACATAGAACTTTTGCTCACAAAGTCAAATAAGATGTAGAAATTCCATATGGTTTAGGAGTTAATGGTGGTAAATCCATTATGCTTACAGGAAGCGAAGTAGGGCAAATGACTGGAATAGCAAATAACTCCAGGATTAATGATGAATTAATTGCTAGAGCACAAAATATCCAAGATGTTCCTGATTTGTGGTGAGGATGGGTAACAGAAGTTGGGTAAGACAATACCCAAACATGATTCCCAGGTTTACCTAAACTAAACAATGGAAAACCGTAGAAGATGCCATTAAGATATCTCAAGAATATGGAAGATTATTATTCACTTCTGATGGGACAGGACTTTATAGGACACCTGAAAAAATTCCCATGAAAAACTCCTTTTCAAAATGTCAAGTGATGATATCCAAGATGAAACCAATAAGTCACAACATTCACATAATAAACTGTACAACCCTGATCTCTTGACTGTCATAAAATGTTTCTTACCTCTAAACCAAAGTTTCATTTTATAATTTAAATTTTCTCATTTTTCCTGTCAGCTTAAGAAAAGATCACTGCAAACTTTTTGTATGTCTTTCATATATACTTGCAAAGGGTTGTAAAATTTTATTGTGATTATTCTTGCTTTAAGCCAAAACTTCCCTAATCTTTCTTTAGAGATTGTGGCATAGCATGCTAGTTCTTTTTTTCCATATCCAATTGTTTCTTCTTGTATTCATTACCCTAGCTATATGATTGTCTTTTGAACCTCCCCTGCAACTAGATATGACCATGTAACTAAGTTTTAAGCCAATAATTTGTAAGCATTGTGCTATGAGTGCCTTCTAAAAAACCTTCCTCCTTTTCTTTCTCTATTTTACTGTCTGGAATGAAGCTCCAATAGCTGGAGATCAATAGCCATCCTAGATAATGCAGGCAGGGGTGATGGGCAACACAATCTGTTAGCTTCCTTATTGAAAGATAAGTTTTACAAGAATAAGAACCTTATTCATGTTGGTCCAAGCAATATCCCCAACTCTTACACACAGTGTGCAGCATGTTTACTAAGAGCTCAGGTATTAAACAGGTATTGAATGAATCCATGAATTAATTAGTTTACTCTGGAATCATAAATAAACAAGGTCTCAGCTCATTTCACAGAATCAAATTCCTGATTAATTCAAATCACACTACTCTAATTTGTTCCTCTTTGCTCTCTCAGACTTGCCAATGTCATGGAAGGATAGGATTTTTTCTTAATGTGCTTCAATATTGCTTTCAACCAAAATGTTTTAAAATCTGTTTTCATAACAATGCTTCCCAATATTTTTGTGTTTAGGAAGTTTAAAATTTTGAAATTTTTAAAGTCATGGATATCTGTTTCTGCATGTGTCTGTTGTTAAGTGCAGGCACCATTTTGTAACTTTAAATAGACATCATCTCAAGTCTGTAAGAGTTATCCAAAATGATATCTAATGACATTTCTAGGTCTTCAGACACTATTAACACAGATTGTAGCCACTAGATCTTGAGGATTTTACTAAATATTGGTTACTGAAATGAAACTTTCTTGAATTCTTTTTTCCTTTCACTGTGGTTTCCAGCATTTTAACATCACCTATTTTTGTCCTCAAACTTAAATATTTTCAACAAAAGGAAATTAAATATGAATCATCCCTCCTTCCCTGATTTTTGAAATGATCCTTTGCTTCCTATGATAATGATTATTGCTGGTCCTTTTTGTAGTTAGTTATGTTAGAGTTTGTAAATATTCACACATTTTACAATTGCATATAATTTTCTTCTTAATTATTTTTCCTCTTCACCTAAAGTTGTTATTTCTGTTAACTCTTTGTGGGAAAAATTAAACCCATTTTTTACTTTTTGGATATACTTATTTATAAATGAACTCCTTGATTTTTGCTTAAATTGCTTTTTAAGTTTTCCACTTTTTTAGGGAAGACATTATTTGGGTTTTATTTAGTGTATCAAGCTTTTTTTTTTTTTTTTTTTGGTTAGGTGTATCAAGAAGTATAGACTTTTCTATACATAATATCCTTTTTCCCACACTAGTTTTATGAAAAGTCTATTAAAGATCATCAAAAGATCTCTTCCTAAACCTCTCTTCTACCAGAAATTTTTCTAGAGTCATAAGGTCCTTTCTCCCTTCTTGCTTTTGTAGGAGTCTGAAGCTAATCTGTCCCTGATCTGGATTGCATACACCTGTCCCTTTTAGGTGCCCTTGTGCATTCATTCTTTCTTCTTTTCTAACCTCAAAAATGTGTTTTCTCTGTTGGCTCTTCCCCTTTAACATAGAAGTATACTCACCCTTTTTGTCAAATCTTGGAATGAAAGGCTTTCTTTACCATGCATCTTCCTTTAATTACTACTACATCTCTCTTTTCAGTCAGATACTTGGGAAGAGAAGCCCTCAGTTTGTGTCGTTGTTTTCTCAACTCCAGTTCACTACTTTACCCACTGTGTGACATCCAACTCACTATCACACACACAAGCCCAATCGCCAAGTTACCATAGCCGATTTGTAGCTTTTCTTCCCTCCTGGCAAAATTTGACTCTGTGCATTGAGGTAATACATATTGAGTATCTATTGACCAGACCCTGTTCTAGGTGCTGCCGTTACAGAAATGAAAAACAGACATCATCTCCTTTCTAGTGACTCACAGGAGCAGCTGTTCCTGATTCATACGCAGGTCCCTTGACTCCTGGCACTCACTTTTGCAAGCTTGACTTAATGCCGTGTAAATCACCCTATTCTCCAGGTCTTTATTCCCACTTTTCCTTACTATACACTTCTCGTGGCAATCACTTCCACACCCATGGCTTCAGTTGCTTTCTCTATTGTTTGAGGACAATGGAATTTTAAATATTTTGCTTCATGTATTAGCTTTATTTTATATAAGATGCCTCATATGCTATAACCTTAGATTCAGAGTTGAAAGTAATAAATGAAAAATGATGATAGTCTTAGCATGTAAATTTTAGGAAATTTCCCCAGTTAAAAGTTTGATTTAGTATGTGTGTTATTTTTGAAAACATATGTTGGGATGTCACAAATGAATTTAGTCTACAGAGATTTATATTCAACTTTTGACCAGAGAATTCCATTCTAATGTGACACTGAGAATTAAAAACTGTCTTTTCCTTTTTACCTATTTCTCTTCCTACATTCTCTGCCAGGTGGAAGGCACCGCTACGTACCCAGTCTTCCCCAGCAGAGCCTTTGCAGCTCTGTTTTCCCTCTACTTCCCCTCTCACATCTCATGACCAAGCACTTCCTATTCTATCTCCCAAATGAGCACAAAACTTTTTTCCGCCGCTTTTGTCACTCCCACTGCCTTTAGCATTACTCTTCCTTTAGACTAAAGTCTCTTAATTGGTCTTGTTGCTTCCTTCAGTTCTTCCTTATTATACAAACCACTACACACACATCTGACAGAGACTTCTTACCTTTGTATTGTTAAATGACTCAAATTCTCAGAATAAAATTAAAATCAAATAAAGGTGGGTTTGTATCCCAGGTTCATACACTGTCCACCAGTGTGGTCTCATAAAACTGAACTCCTTAAGCCTTTGTTTGTGTATCTACCTACACTCACTGATAGTTGGGACTGTTTCACACGTACAATGCCTGGCGTGTAGAAGGGACTTAACAATGTTGAATGAAGGAGAGGCAAAATATTGTTCTGGCTGGGAGCAGTGGCTCATGCCTGTAATCCCAGCACTTTGGGAGGCTAAGGCAGGTGGATCACTTGAGGTCAGGAGTTTAAGATCAGCCTGGCCAACATGGTGAAACCCCATCTCTACTAAAAATACACAAATTAGCTGAGCGTGGTGGCAGGCTCCCGTAATCCTAGCTACTTGGGAGGCTAAGGCACTTGAATGAGAATCACTTGAACCCAGGAGGCAGAGGTTCCAGTGTGCCAAGATTGTGCCACTGCCTGGGTAACAAAGCAAGACTCGATCTGAAAAAAAAAAAAAAAAAAAAAAAATTTGTTCTTTTAAAAATATATTAAGTAATCTACAGTGTCACTTCCCCTCCAAGCTTGACTTCTACCTTTACTTTCTGTTACAATTTGGCCATGTCCCCACTCAAATCTCATCTTGAGTTGTAATCCCCATAATCCCCAGGTGTTGAGAGAGGGGCCTGGTGGTAGGCAATTGGATCATGGGGGTAGTTTTCCTTATGCTGTTCTTGTGATATTCAATGAGTTCTCATGAGATCTTATGGGATTTTTGTTTTGTTTTGTTTTTGGGACAGAGTCTCACTCTGTTGCCCAGGCTGGAGTGCAGTAGCCCAATCTCAGCTCACTGTAGCCTCAGTCTCCAGAGTAGCTGGGATTACAGGCATGTGCCACTACTCCCAGCTAATTTTTGTATTTTTAGTAGAGACGAGGTTTCCCCATGTTAGCCAGGCTGTTCTTGAACTCCTGACCTCAGGTGATCCACCCACTTCAGCCTTCCAAAGTGCTAGGATTACAGGCATTAGCCACCATGCCCAGCCGAGATCTGATGGTTTTATACCTGTTTGACAGTTGCTCCTTCACATGCTCACACTCTCTGTGTGGCCACCATGTAGGACGTGCCTGCTTCCTTGTCTGCTATAATTGTAAGTTTCCTGAGGCCTCCCCAGCCATGCAGAACTGTAAGTCAATTAAACCTTTTTCCTTTATAAACTACCCAACCTTAGGTATTTCTTTATGTCAGTTTGAAGGTGGACTAATGCACTTTCTGGTAACCACGCTTGAAGATTTAGGAAACTCAGAGTATCTGGGATCAAATTGTGGCCCCACCCTGAGCAGTCATGTGACTTTGGGGAGGTTACTTATTTTCTTCATTTCAACTTCTGTAAAATCTGTAAAATGAGATTGGTTCTGAGGGTCAAATGAGCATAGCACAGTGGGAACAGTGGCAGGTACATACTGTTTGCCAGATGTTGACTATTTGTCTTTATTGAATTAGGACTGTGGTACCCTACTTTATGGCTCTTGATTTTATATGACAAAATCATACTTAGTGCTTTGTTAGTAAAATAAATAAAATGTGAAAGTCCCTGCCATGGAGGGAAGAAAGAGGGGAGAAAAGGGAGTTGGTAAGTTTCAGCATTTCAAAGCTTGGAGAGGGACAAGTTAGGTTTCTATTTTATGGAGAAGAAGGTGGAGATAGGATGGGTCCTAAGGTTGGTTCAAGTTCACACAACCATAACTCTTTCTTGAGAGTATAGCTAGGATTTCAGGGATTGCTGTAGTCAAGTTGCAGACAAAAACTACTCATTGGAAGATGGGAATATTTAGTTACAAAAGCAGTCAACAATTCAGGTATATCTAAATTCAGTCAGTAAATAAAAGTTGTTCATCTTGGTTGCTAATGGGACCCACTCTACTAACTGAAGCTTTGTATAGAATTCATAGGGGAAGATGGCTTTAAGTAAGAAACCATTCTGTGCTTTTGTTAGGAGTAAAATGCTCAGGAAGCTGATAATAAATGAAAACCTTAGTCCCACTGGCACTGAACTAGGGGCCAGGAGAGTGACAACATCATAAGCCACAGGGTGGGGCAGCCCAAGCAGGAGCAATCTGAGCTGTGTGGGAGTGGAGGCAGCCAGGGTGGGACATTGTGAGGTGTGGGGTGGATCATTGTGACACACATGCCTTGGCTCCCACCTGGGCCAGTGGGCTTCAGTCTGTAGGTGACTGCAGAAGGAGGTGGAGCCTCCCTCTGTACTCTCTTCAGAAAGTTGTTTTTCTTAGCACTTATTGGGTTCACAACCTATTAAATAAGCCAGCTGGTCTTTACCCTCTTAGACAAGTCAACTCAGGGGTGGCAGCAGGGTGATATCCTTGGCCTGAGGCCCTGCTGGGGCTGGGCTGTGTGGTGGACAGTGAGGAGCAGACAAGACCATCTGTGCAAGTGCAGAATAGCTTCCACCTAGGGCAGTGGGAGTACATGGTCAAAGCTGTGAGCAGAGGCACAGGTGGTGGCAGACAGGAGTAGAGACACATCGTGGGGTACACACTGACCTGTTAATGTGCAGTGCCCCAGGGCCAGCACCTGTTTGGAACAGCACCAGGGGTCAGTGCGTCCCTGTGTGTCAGAGATCTATGAGGCAGCATCTGGGGACACGATGGCAGGAGTGCCGATGGCTCCCACGGTGGAGCCTGCTAAAGTGACTTTTGAAGTTGGTGAGGGCCTTCACTTGGAACAGCACCAGGGGTCAGTGTGTCCCTGTGAGTCAGAGATCTATGAGGCAGCTGGGGACAGGATGGAAGGAGCACTGATGGCTCCCATGGTAGAGCCTGCTAAGATGACTTTTGAAGTTGGTAAGGGCCTTCACTTGGAACAGCGCCAGGGGTTAGTGTGTCCCTGTGAGTCTGAGATCTATGAGGCAGCAGCTGGGGACACAATGGCAGGAGCACCAGTGGCTCACACTGTAGAGTCCACTAAGGTGACTTTCGAAGTTGGTGAGGGCCTCTGTGTGCACCATATCTGTGATGGGGAGATGCTTGAAGGTAAGGAGGTGACAGGTACCCTTGGCTCACCTCTGGCTGCTGCTGTCCCCAGGGTTTCCTGGGAGGCATCCCCCACTTCAAACTCATTTCTGTCTATAGCCAGCTTTCCCAGGGCTGGCCAGGAACAAAGGCTGGCTCTGCCTTGCATCCCGCACCTTAGTCTTTCTCCATAGAGTCCAGTCAGTTTCCTTTCTCCTTCCCTCCCAAATGCCCAGTTCTTCCTCATCTCATTCTCCCAGGCTGGCATGGGACCATTTATTTATGGCTCTTCTTGTCTGTAGCTCTATTTATTATCCTGTTGGACTTTGTTGAGGCTTCTTTGAAATATCTCCCTTTTTGCAATAAAAACTTAAATACCCCAACTTTCCAGTACCCATCTCATTCTTCCTTTGTACCTATCCAGATGGTACATAAGTGAAGGAGCCAGGTAAGTGACTAATTGTTTCCCTTGTTAAATTAGCTAAATCTCAGGACAACTCATACTCAAATATTTGGGGATTTCTTCTTATTTAAATTCAGAATGGAGGTTGCCATGGGAGAGACTATATGGTATTCTTAATGGGGTGCTTTAAGTCATGTGATAGAAGCTGCTTAGTTTCTTCTAATTGTAATTTGAATGCAGAAGGAAAGAAAATGGAGGGTGGGTAAAATAATTGTGGAAGGTGTGAAATGTCACAGCTAGGGCTGTAGAAAAATGGGTACAGGTTGGGGGCTGTTTTCCCCAAAAGAGTGTACCCATGAGGCTCTGATTACTTTAAAGTTCTTACTTTAATACAAAATGTGTCTTCAGATTTATTCTGGTGACTTAACAAACATTTACCTCCTTCTTCTAAAAAAGATGTGGGGATGTTTGTGGTCAAAACTTTCAAAAGACATGAAATATAAATGTAGACTTGTAATGTGTACATTGTGGCACTATTTACAATAGCAAAGACTTGGAACCAACCCAAATGCCCATCAGTGATAGGCTGGATAAAGAAAATGTGGCACATATATACCATGGAATACTATGCAGCCGTAAAAAAAGGATGAGTTCGTGTCCTTTGCAGAGACATGGATGAAGCTGGAAACCATTATTCTCAGCAAAGTGACACAAGAACAGAAAACCAAACACCACATGTTCTCACTCATAGGTGGTTGTTAAACAATGAGAACGCATGGACACAGGGAGGGGAACATCACACATTGGGGTCTGTTGGGGGTAGGGGGCTAGGGCAGGGATAGCAGGGGGTGGGGAGGTTGGGGATGGATAACATTGGGAGAAATACCTAATGTAGATGATGGGGGGATGGAGGCAGCAAACCACCATGGTATCTATTTACGTATGTAACAATCCTGCAAGATCTGCACATGTACCCCAGAACTTAAAGTATAATAGAAAAAAAAAATGGTTAAAATGCCAGACCTTGCCTGTGTAAGTGTTTGTTGCCATGGCTCCCATTTTGTCATTCCACCTCCTGACACTAGCATCTTGTTCAAAGATAAGAAAGTTGGAGGTTTCTCAGTCTACACTGCTGGGAGAGGAAGGGGGATGAGAGTGGGTAGAAAAGAGAAAACAGTTGGTCTGCCTCCAAAATTTTGCAAAGAGATGACTCTAAGTAGAAATAATTCTGTATAATAATATGTTTCTTTAATAAAAGCTAAAATTTTCAAAATCGAAAAGATTGTACCATAAAGATATTAAATCCATTTGGCTCATTGGTTTCATTTAAATGGCAGAGATTTCATTACTGTAGAGGAAATGTCTTATATAGCTCTTCTATTTAAACTTTGGTTGAACTTTAAATTTTTTCAGAGATAGGATGATTAAGACTCAAGATGAGTGTGACTTTGTAACTTGGAAGTACTATACTCACTTTTCTTTCTTTCTTTTTTTTTTTTTTTTTTTTTTTTGAGACGGAGTTTCGCTCTTGTTACCCAGGCTGGAGGGCAATGGCGTGATCTCGGCTCACCGCAACCTCCGCCTCCTGGGTTCAGGCAATT